CAGCTCCAGCTGTCCCCTGGGTCCTGTCCCTGTCACACAGAGCAGAGATCAGTGTCTGCCCCTCCTTTCCCATCATGAGGACGATGTACCCGTGATGAGTCTCCCCTCAGTCTCCTCCAGCTGAACATTCCAAGTGCCCTCAGCTGCTCCTCAAATGCTTCTCCTCAAGACCCTTCCCCATCCTGTGGCCTCCTCTGGATGTGTTGATGAGCCAAGCCTTGAGCCCCACCGTGCTCTCAGCCTGGCAGAGGGGTTCCAACCATGCAGCTCATCTGAACTGGCACCTGAGCACCAAACTGAGAGCAGAGGAAGGACATGGAGGACATGGAGGTGGTGGAGCCAGGTCAGAGGAGGAGCTTGAAGGTCAGGGATTGGAATCTATGGAGCCAGGCTGGGAAAGCTGGGCTTGTGCACTTGGACAAGAGGAGGTTGTGTGGAGACCTCAGAGCACCTTCCAGGCTCTGGGGGGGTTCCAGAGGAGCCAGAGAGGGACCCTGCATCTGGAACTGGAGTGACAGGACAGGGGGAATGAGGTCAGACTGATGGAAAGCAGGTTTAAATGGGATCCTGTGAGGGTGGGCAGGCCCTGGCACAGGGTGCCCAGAGCAGCTGTGGCTGCCCCTGGATCCCTGGCAGTGCCCAAGGCCAGGCTGGACATTGGGGCTTGGAGCAGCCTGGGACAGTGGGAGGTGTCCCTGCCATGGCAGGGGTGGCACTGGATGGGCTCTAAGGTCCCTCCAATCCAGACCATCCCATGATTCTCTGATGACACTTCTTGTCTTGCAGGAAGGAAAAGTTGCATAAAGGCAAAGACAAAACAGAGACAGACTAACCCTGGCTGTCACAGAGGCAGAAATGACCCAGATGTTCCAAATGGGCAGTGCCAGTGCCCTGCCATCCCCTGTCCCCTCTGGGAAGGAGCGTGCCAGACTCTCCCCGTTGAGATGGCTTTGGCAGCCTGTCCCCACACAGCTGGCCCAGTGGCCACAGGGCACCAGGATCTCTGCTCTGACATGTTATTGCCCAATGTGCTGGGAAAAGTAACTAGAGCACAAATACAATCCTTGTCTGGGAAGGGAGAGGGGCAGGGCTGTGGGGACGAGCTGCAAAACCAACAGGGATGTGAGGCAGGAAATGCATCTGGCAGAGTGAGATCTGTGCTGGAAACAGAGGGGAAAGGTTGGGCCAGCACAGAGCCTGAGCCCCTCACCAAACACAGCACGGCCTCAGCAGCAGCAACTGCAGCCCCCAGGCCAAATCTGAGGGGGATTATCCCCAAAAAATCCCATCTAACTCCTGAGTGCAAGTCCCAGCATGCTCCTAGGACATTAATGGGATTTTCTCCTTTTGGGATGTCTGTAGAGAATCACAGGATGGTTTGGGAGGAAAAGAGGCTTTAAGGATCATCTTTTTCCACCCCCTCCCACTGTCCCAGGCTGCTCCAAGCCCCAGTGTCCAGCCTGGCCTTGGGCACTACCAGGGATCCAGGGGCAGCCACAGCTGCTCTGGGCACCCTGTGCCAGGGCCTGCCCACCCTCACAGGAACAATTCCTGCCCAATATCCCACCCATCCCTGCCCTCTGGCAGTGGGAGCCATTCCCTGTGTCCTGTCCCTCCATCCCTTGTTCCCAGTCCCTCTCCAGCTCTCCTGGAGCCCCTTCAGCCTCTGGAAGTGGCTCTGAGCTCTCCCTGGAGCCTTTCCTTGCCCAGGTGAGCACCCCCAGCTCTCCCAGCCTCTCCTCACAGGAGAGGTTAATTCCAAGCTTTAATTCCTCTTTTGTTCTTTTGCTCCTCTCCAGAGGGAGCTGGGGCCCCAACCCAGCCTGGGACAGGACAAGAAACAATGGAAGGACCAAGACAAAGGACCAAAGGAAAATAGTCTAAAACTACTCCCAAGCCAAGCATTTCAAAGTGGTTCAAACTGATGAGGTTTTTAACCCCTTCATCAGGTTGAGTGGCCCAAAGCCACATCCCCTGCCAGAGGCACTGACTGACACCAGCCCCTGGAACATCCTTCCATAAAACCTCATCCAGGAAACTGCACCTGGCCATGCTCCCACCTTCAGCTGTCCCTGGGAGGAATCCCAGGATCTCTGGGGCTGGAAAATCCCTCCCAGACCATGGAGTCCAAGCTGTGCCTGATCCTCACCCTGTCCCCAGCCCAGAGGACTGAGTGCCACATCCAGCCCTTCCTTGGGCACCTCCAGGGGCAGAGACTCCCTTTCAGTGAGAAATTTCCTCCCATATCCAATCTAAGCCTCCCCTGGCCCAGCCTAAGGCCGTTCCCTCTCCTCCTGTCCCTGTTCCCTGGAGCACAGCCCGACCCCCCCGGCTGTCCCCTCCTGTCAGGGAGTTGTGCAGAGCCACAAGGGCCCCCCTGAGCCTCCTTTTCTCCAGGTTGAGCCCCTTTCCAGCTCCCTCAGCTGCCCGAGGGCTGGGGCTGATCCCCCCTGGCAAAGCTGCCCCTCCAATCCATCTCCTGTGACTGTGATTTCTGGCTGGCTGCATCTCAGGGATGGCAGAAAGTTAATTAGACATCCCAGCACCTGGGAAATAAAAGCCTTGATGACCTTCATTGACTCTATTGGAAAATAATTTCGGGTTGTTTAGCTTCCCTTCTGCTCTGAGCAGACCATCAATTAGCAGCCATCAGTAAAATGTTCAGAATTTGCCTTTTACCACGATTTAATCTGATTAAAGGGTGCTGTTTCGTCACCCCTGCTCCTTCCGTGTCCCCCATGAGCTCAGTATTGATGGCTTTGTCCTCAACTTCTGCTGCTTAAATGGGCAAAACATATTTTATCCTATAATTAAATGAAATGCTCTGCTGGGTGAACATTATCTTAAGTTTTATAGCATTATAGTGCTTTCTATCACCTTAATATATCACCATAGCTGTGTCACTGCAATGAGCTATCGCTGCATTATTAGTGTAATACATCATTACAGCAAGGTGCTTCCATGAGGGATTGCCTCAAAGATGAAGCCATCAAGCAGGAAAAAAAATCCATCAGCAGCCTCAACATAATTACAGGATAAAAGGATGATGATGGAATCTCATAATGATTTGACCTGGAAGTGAATGGAAGCAGGGAGAACAGAAGGCTGAAGGGAAAAAAAGAGAAAAATCTCCAAAATTTTACTCAGTGAGGGATGAGTGAGTAAAGGCAAGATGTCATCTGCATTCAGAGCCACCACCCTGAACTGCATCCAGGCTGAGCTTAAACCCACGGGCAGCCACAGGAGAGAGCAGAAACGGGGGACAGGACACGAGGCCCTGAATGGCACAAATCCCTCCTGGCAGATCCAGCACTGCCTCTCTCCCAGCTGGGCTGGGACCCACAGGCACAGGGACGGGTGGGACTGGATTTAGGAAGAGGAAGGGCTTCCAAGGAAATCCCACCAGCCCTGGTGTGGCAGGGAACAGGAGCCAGGGCCCCACTGTCCTGGGGATGTGACAGTGACAGTGCCAGCAGGAGCCCACACCTTCCCCTCCCTCATTCCTGCCAAGGCTGGCAGTGAAGTCATTTCTGTATTCTGAAACAAAGAATGTCTGGGATGTCAAAATGTCTGGGATGGGCCCCAGGATCAAGGAGAGAAAGGGGGATTTTAGGACACCACGTGTGCTCTGGGATGTGAGCAACTCAAAATGAGCTCAACAATTCCTTGTGGGGTTTCATACACATACAAATAAACAAAATTGTAATATATATATATATACAAAGCAGAGTTTCCATTACTTCTAATTCCAGTCCCAGCCATAAATTACAACCTGCAGCCCAGTTAATTAAACAGTTGTAGGGAAAGTCCAATTTCCTTCATGGTGCCACAAAGGCCATTCCCAAGCTTCTGCACTCACTGATAGCTGCTTAAAACCAGCATTTTCCAGGAGTTTCACTAATTGGATGTATCATGAAACAAAGGAACAGCCAAGAACTGGCTCTCAGCTGAAGAGGGAAGGGACAATGTGGAGAGGGAAGATCAGGAAGGATGAAATGGGCAAGCTCCAGGCAGCCAGCAAAATCTGACTTCTGAACATCAGGTAGGGAAAGAAAACATTGTTAAGATTAATCCCAATAACACTGAGGGAAAAATAAATAAGCTGTTCTCAACCATCCATCCTAAAGCCCAGGGTCAGCAGCCAATGTCAGCCCAATCCAGTTTCTCACACAATAATGCACTTAAAGGCTCACATTTCCAGCCACAAAGTGCAAAAGGCACTTGGTGCCATTTAAGAGAAAAATGGGGTGTTTGAGCAAGGGCAGGTTCTGTTTAGCAGGGACTCCATCAGCCCCAGGGACTGATCTCTGTTTAAGGCAGGGGTAACCCAAAGTGGGATTTTCTCCACCCCACAGCTGGTTCCCAGCTCCCCAAGTTCCCCCTCGGGCTCATATGAACTCTGGGATCAGTCCAGGGTGACTCTGGAGTGAGAACAGGATTTTTATGCTTTTCCATTCCTTGAACTGTACAATTCTTTTAGCTGAAAATGAACCTCCTTGAGCCTGCTGGGCCCCAGATGTTCCAAAACTTTTGGAGAGGCAAAATGAGTGCTGGAAAACAAATTCCAGCTAAGCTGAAATGGCTCATTACCACAGCACTAATTGTTTTCTTCTCCCCATTATTCTGGGTTTATTCTGCTGGGTGGAAGAGAAGTAATCCCACAAGGGGCTGGGCTGGAAGGGACCTTAAAGATCACCTTACTCCAACCTTCCACTATCCCAGGTGCTCCAGCTCCCATCCAGCCTGGACTGGGGAAGGAAATACTCAGATTGTGTCCATGATTATTGTTATTTAACTTTGTCTGGAAAATTTTACTTTAAATTACAAATTTCAGGTTTGTTAGGGTTTTTTTTTTTTTTTTTTTTTTTTTGGGTTTCAAATTGCAAAAATCTCAACTTTTCAACGTTTTCAAATTACAAATATTTCCAATTTCTTTCAAGGCTTTTCCTTGCAGCTCTGGCAGGATTCTGGGAATCCAGAGGAGGAGCAGCTGGGGATACTCCCGAGGTGTTTTTAACCCTGGAGAGCGAAGGCACAACCACAATGCACAGCCCCAGGCTGTCCCCTGTCCCCTGTGGTGGCACCTGGCCGTGGCAGTGCCAGCTCACCTGTGGGCCCCAGCCATGGCACGGGTACAGAATTGCTGTGTGGTTCTCCTGCGGGCCCTGGTCCAGGCACACGTCCTTGGCTTTGTTGTTCCGCAGCTGGCAGGGAAAAAATGGGCAGAGTTCAGGGACAGAAGGGGCAGAGTTACAGCAGAAAAAGGGCAGAGCTGTGGCACAAAAAATGGCAGAGTTGTGGCAGAAAAAGGGGCAGAATTATGGCACAAAATTAGCAGAGTTATAACACAAAAGGGGCAGAGTTACAGCAGAAAAAGGGCAGAGTTATGGCACAAAAAGGGGCAGAATTATGGTAGAAAAGTGGCAGAGTTAGGCACAAAATGGAGTGGAATTATGGCAGAAAAAAGGAAGAATTATGGCACAAAAATAGAGTTATGGCATAAAAGGGCAGAGTTATGGGAGAAAAGGGGCAGAATTAAGGTATAATAGGGCAGAATTATGGCAGAAAAATAGAATTATGGCATAAAAGGGCAGAGTTATGGTAGAAAAAGGGCAGAGTTAAGGCACAAAGGGGGCAGAGTTAAGGTATAAAAGGGGCAGAGTTATGGCAGAAAAAGGGCAGAGTTATGGCACAAAAATAGAGTTAAAGCATAAAAGGGCAGAATTAAGGTATGAAAGGGCAGAATTATGGCAGAAAAATAGAATTATGGCATAAGAGGGCAGAGTTAAGGGACAAAAGGGGCACAGTTAAGGCACAAAAAGGGGCAGAGTTAAGGTATAAAAGGGGAAGAGTTAAGGCATAAAAGGGGCAGAGTAAAGGTATGAAAGGGCAGAGTTAAGGTATAAAAGGGCAGAGTTAAGGCCCTCTCTTATCAGAGACAAGCACCAAACTGATGCTCAGTTTCCTCTCCACCCTCTCTACCTCTCAGTGCTGTAACATCAGGAATAATCAGGCAAAGAAAACTTTCAGAGCACTAAACCTTCCTTTAAACCCAGGGCTAATGATGAGTGGTTTTGTGTAATAATCCCCATTCCAAGGAGCAATGTCCCTGGCTGTGTTTGGTCATGGGTGCTGGGGATAAACCCAGGTTTAGGCTGCCAGAAGCCTCAAATCAATGCAGAACCCCTCAGATTTCAGTGAAAGCTCAAAGTGCTCAACAAGGCAGGGAGAAAAGCCCAACTCAAACAAGGATCACCTTGGAATCATCACATCCTTGGTCCAGCTGGGCTTTTTTCCAACCCAAACCATTCTGAAATTTCATTTTCTATGAAAATAGATTTTTTTGGGAGGTTTTAGCTTGAAGTAACTTTCATAACAAATCTTTCCTAAAATGAATAACCCATCTGGAGTGCCCAGGCTTCAAGGAGCCTACTCCAAGTGCCTCTACTCCATCAATTCCATTGCAGCAGAGTATTTGTTATTAGTTCCCATAAATGACTCTTTCTATATCCCCAGAATGGTTTCAAAGCCAGCAGAGATTGAATTAAGTCCCCTTTTTTTATCTTGTCCTTAAGCTGTTGTGACAAGGCACTGAATCCTCCCGAGACCTTGTCAGGAATTAGGCTGAGTTTAAGTCACAGGGTTTTAGAAGATGCCTGTGTATTAAAAATACAAATACAGATGCTTAATCCGTGGAATCAATGGGAAATATGGATAATTTCAGTCAATTCACTAAATGATGTATTAACATCTTTTACTTTATACAGTCTTCAACATCAGCAGCAAATCCCCAAACTGGTTTTTAGAAGAAACTGGGAGCAGATTTATACAAATGTAGATAATTACACAGGAAAAGGTCAGTTTTCATTCAGACTCCTCTCCTTTGAGGCTGTTTCTCATCAGGGATTATAAATATTAGCAGGCTGAGTTAAGGGACTAAATTACCTCTCCATAAGCAATGGTGTTGTTGTATCTCCTCATTTCTGGATAAACATGGTCCAGGTACCACTGGAAATTTTTACACTTCAGGCTTTTCCTCAAGGCTTTCCTTTCAGAAACATCCCCAATGTCAATTCCTGGATTCTGAAAAACAACAGCAGGACATCAGTGAATGGTCACACTTCCAAAAAAATGGTAAAATGAAAGTATTTCACTGAGCTTTGAGATCCTTTCCAAACTGCCTGGGAAGTGCCCATGGTTGAGTAGTTCCAGGAATTCTTGGATGTGTGTCCAGGGCTTAAATCATCAGAAGAAGATGCCATGGCAAGAGGGGGACACCAACTTCTCTGTCGGGTTTTGAGGGCCCCCTTCATGGGCTGATGCTGGACAGGCTTTGGTCCTCGGGGATAATTTAAAAAAGAGGAGCCAAAGGGAGAGGAAAAGATTTGGAGGAAAGTTGGGAAGTGCAGTGAAACAGTGGGGAGTCTTCTCTCAATTCCCTTGGGTTTGGATCCATCTGACAAAGATTGATCTGTATTTTTGAACAAGGTCTTTTTAAAAGATTTCTCCTCCTGCTTGGGTTCTGAGGCACAGGACCTCCAGGAGAATTTAACAGCAAGTGGATATCAGGATTTAAAAGATGGAAATGCAAACCCTGGCTGGGCACTGAGCACCAAAACCTTCCCTGACCTCACTGAGACACAACCCAGAGGAAGGGAGGGGCAAAAGGTGTAAAATAAATGAGAAAAGAATGAAGGAAAGAGAGAAAGGTTTAAGATTCAAATACAGCAGAGGCAGACAGCTGAGAATAAAGGATAAAAATTGCATGAGAAGAAAAGTTGAGGCTGAACCTCAGCAAAACCTCTTGGCAATTTGGGCAATTCCAGGGTGGAATGGTCTCCCTGGAGACAGGGCAGAACCCCACTGTTCCTGCAGACAAGAACCTGAGAAAACCCCTGCAGGAGCTGGGAGCAGGGCTGGAGAGCTGCCCCCCTTCATTCCACCATGGGATCTGGGGAGCTGATGCAGCAGGGAAGCCAAAGGCAGGCACACAGCAGCCCCTTTGCCTGCCTGTGCCTGGGCTCCCACTCTGCTTCAGATCCTGCTCTTGTCTTTCCCAGCAATCATTACACACAACTGGGAAAGCAATTTTCCATTACAGCGCTTGTAATGATCTCCTAATGAATTATTCACTCTGCTTGAGAACAGACACCCGTTTCAGTGTGCCCCTGCTAGCTGAGAGGAAAAAAAAAAAAAAGGTCCAGTGGAGACAGGCTGAGATCTGAGTGGGTGAGGTGGGGCTCAGAGCAGTCAGGCAGCACCTGGGATGGGCAGGGCAGGGCTCTGCCTTGGCATCACAAAAGAATCCAGTAAAATCCATAAAACCTCCCCCATCCAACAAGGCTTCCCTCAAATTAAATCTTGACTTGATTGGGAAAAGACCTGCATAAAAAACTCAAATGGATTCTGGGGAAGCCAGACCTATTGGGAAGACCTACATAAAAATCTCAAGTTGATTTTGGGTCCCCCAGGCCTGTTCCCACCCCCAGTGCTGATCCATATGATGCTGCCTTTTCCAAGCTCGACAGGATGGATTTTAATCCTTTCTGCAATGCTCCAAAGCTGTTCCTGAGCAAGACGGTGGTGCCTCACCTCTAAAAGAGAATCAGCCCAAGGATCAGGACTTCTGATCCCTGCCCATGAGCATTTGGATCTTGAAGTCTCGTTTTTAAGATCCCCCAAATTCCCTCTCCCAGCCCCTGGAGTGGTGCCTGTCACAGCCAGAGCCCTCCTGCAGCTCCCTGGGAAAGCAGCTTTTCCTTCCATCTCTATTCCTTTATTTCCTGGTATTTTTGTACCACCTGGCCCTGGATCCCCCCACGCCCAGGACCACAAACCTGCAGCTCCTGGCCCTTCCCAGGCTGTTCCCTAACTCAGCACAAAGCTGTGACTGCCGTGGCTCCAAATGCCAGCAGCTCTCCCCAGATGTCACCTTTCCTCAGAAAGCTGCAGCAGCAGCAGCTCCGATTTTTGTGTTTTCCTGTTTTTCCAGAGGCCTGGAGCAGACATCAACTGGGGATGCTCCCTCAGCTGCACCAGGACTCAGTAGCTCTTTGAGCCTTAGCCAAGATGGAATATTTTGTGTTCATTTTTAGCACCCAGGGGTGGCTGGAAATAACTGCATCCAGGGGGGCTGGACACTTGTGTCACCAGTCTGACCTCTCAGTGAAACTGGGCAGCCCCCAGTGCTCCTTCACCTGCCCATCCCACCCATGGCCCAGGAGCACCAGTGTCCCCCCATGCCCACCCCCAGCTCTGCCCTGGCAGTGCCAGCAGCAGGAATGGGGTGTGGATCCTGCCAGGGCTGCGTTTGGAGCCAGGAACCAGGAGATGCTCTTGGCTTCTGAGATCAGACACAACCTGCAGGGAGGGCAGAGCTCCAGCCTTGGACCTTCAGAAATTCCTCCTGGAGCCGTGGAGCTTTCCCAGAAGTGCAGGGAGTGTCCCTGCAAATGTCACCTGGACCTGCTGGTGGCACCTCCTGGTTTTCCAAAGATTCTCCAAGCTGTGACATGGCAGGATTTACACCACAATTAATGCTTCAGATCCAAGAAAACCTGACCATTTCTGGGCAGAAATCAAAGGAACCACCAACGCTCTTTAAGGAGGTTTCAGAGGAAGGGGATCCTCTTCTGTGAGCCACCAACCTCCAATCCTTTTACCTTTAAACCTTCCAGCACTGGGAAAACAAGCAGCCCCAACCCCTGGGCCACACATCCCTGGGAGTGTCCCTGAGCTGGGAGCCCGAGCTGGGCTGGATGTGACACAGGAAGAAACCCGAGGCACTAAGGACTGACATCAATAATCTTCAGCCAACGAGCCTGCAGGCAGACTCCACCTGCAGAGCAGTGTCAGGACAGCCCCTCACGCTGGGGAAACACTCAGGGGGGATTAACACCCCAGCCCAGCTTTCACTTAGAGCCACTGACTGATCCTAGCCTGGATATTAGGGCTGGTGGCTCCACTGAACTTGGTGATTTTATGCAGAAACAAAATCTGACCCGATTGTTTGGGAATTAAAAAACTTTAATACTGGAAAATAACAAACTGCAATCCGAACAGTTTGTACTGAACAAACTGGGAAAGATGGTCCAGGGAGAGACTAGAGGGAAAAATGGCAAAAAGCAAGTGTTAGGGCATGGCAGGGGTATTTATAAACTTGGAGGAGGGGAGGAATTAGGGCAGAGTTTAGGGAGGGGATCCAATAGGGAAGGGCAATTGGGAATATTAAAATTATCGCAGCAAAAAGGAACCTATGATAACAAGGGAAGCAGAGAACTTTCTGGCAATGATCAACATGCTGGAACTGGAGGACTCTGGGGGTGATTTTTTACTCACCCCTATCGAAGGGATCTCTCATGGCCTTAAGCCATGATCCTCTACCCTTTTACTGGAGCTAACCCCAACAAACCACACTAAAAAAGGCTGTGGGAGCAGCAGGAACCCCTCCAAAGCCTGCAGCTTCTGGAGCCTCTCCCTCAAAGCTGCGGGAGCTCTGCGGGGGCAGCGAGCCTGGGGCTGAGGCTGTGCTTAGGGACACTGAGCGCTGCATAATTCGGGTTTTTAGCGGGCAGTGAGCACGGGGCGGGCTGTACCTCCAGGGGCAGGTTCCAGGCGATGTAGACGTGCCACTTGTAGTCGTCCATCCAGACCTCGGCCACGCGCAGCGCGTTGCGCTTGGTGTAGAAGCCGATGTTGTTGTTGTAGGGCTTCTTCTTGCGCTCGATGTGAGCCACCCTGGAGCACGGCAGCACCTCCATGCTGCCCCCACACAGCCACACCTGCGTTGTAAATGAGAGACAAAAGTCTCGATATTCAGCAAAATTTAGATTGCTTTATTTGATCTAGAAAGAGCAAGCAGTGCTGGGGAACGTGAGGGGTCACCACCCACTCCACGCTCCACTCAACCTTGGTTTGCAGCCTCTTCTTATACTGTGGTTCCTTGTTGTACACAAATTCACAAAGCCTTTGGGTGATAATCAGTCACAGATTGCCATCCGGTCCTTGTGGATGACCACCAGGGAAGTTCTGGGAGTCTGGTTTTTGGGATAGGCAGTATTGATCAGACAAAGGCAGGAAGGGCTTTTTGGGAAGTCCGATTTTGCAAGCTGGTAGTCGATACAACTTATTTGAAAAATATAACATAACATAATGTAATGTAACATAATACAATATAACATAACAAGGTGATTTTAAACAGAATTATTTAATCATATACTTTCCTTTATCTAGTGTCCATGCTTCACTTCAGAGCTTAGTATTCTGGTTTATGCAAACCCCAATGCTTTTGTGATTAACACGAATCTTTTATCAATTGTCACACCTGAACACAGCACAGCTCCCTCAGCACGGCAGCCAGGGGCAGAGCCCAGACCTGGGCTGGCTCTTTAAAGGGATGCTTATTGTATGCAGATGATACAGCAATTTATTTATTATTTCAAATGCTCTTTATTGTATCCACGTGATGCAGAAATTTATTTATTATTTAAAATGCTGTTTATTGTATCCAAATACAGCAGTTCATGGGTCCTGGGTGACAGAGCCCAGCCCACAGCTTTTCCAGCATCAGCTGTGGGTTTGCCTGAAGTCACTCTAGTTCTGCTTACAATGCATTCTATACTTTTCATTGCAGAGCATCTTAAAACATGACAACCAATCGATACCTTCACTATTACCTACAGCCTATCATAAATACTAACATTACCATATTCATGTTACTATTCTCCAATCACAAAAGCTTAGTATGTTACAATTTAAGCTAGAAGTTGTTTTTCAGTTTTCTTACAGTGGAAAATTTTGAGACCTTTCTTTCTACTTGCAACATTGTCTTTCTTGTTTGCCTGTGACATATTTTTGCTTGGTAAGAACATCTTTTGTTTGAGGTGGATTCATCCTTTGCTCTGAATCATAAAAACCTCTTCCAACTCACTTTACCCTTGACTTCTTAGTTACCCAGTCAGACTGGCTCAGCAATTCTTTTCTTCTATATCAAAACTTGCTATTATTTCTATTCCTTCTTCAGATTCTACATTCAAAGATCTTTCTGTTACACACACACACATCTGTGAGACCTTCCTGCCAAATCCTTATCCTTCCCAACAGGACGGAGTTCTGAGGATCCCAGGTTATCCCAGCATTGTTTCTCCAACTGGCCACAGCCAGGTGTGGCCTCTGCCCAGCACTGGGACACTCAGGGAGCATTTGTGGGCTTGGAACTGCAGGATTTTTATTTCCCTTCCAACCCAAACCCCTCCTGGATTAACCTGTGCCCAAAGCTTTAGAGGGATCAGGTCTGTTCCTCACGGGGTGAACAGTGCTGCATTTCCTCCCAAATAAAAAGCATTAATGACTGGAATAGTTCAAACTATTCCAAGATCCCCTCCTGCAGAAGGGATGAGTCAGTGAAGCATATGGCAGGGACAGATTTCTCCCACTTGAAAACATTTGTTCATTATTGTTCTTTCATGTGCTGCTTCAAATTCCCTTAAATCACAGTTTGCAAGTTAATAAAATCTTGCAAGATCCTCTTTAGATCTCACACACAGGGGATTTGCAGAAGACTTGCCATACCTGCCTTCTTCCCTGCCTGTTTGTCATCAGCAAGAAGTTATTTACCTTCCAGACAGGACTCCAGCCCTGGGCAATCCTTCCAAAGCCACACTCCAGAGCAGGCTGCTCTGCATTATCCTTTTGCACAGTTATTGTTATCCCAGCCTTTCTGGGATCCCTTCCAGGCTCACCACCTTTCCTCCCACCTGTGGGCCCGAATTTTTATGGACTCTGCTCGATTCCAGCAGCACCAGGAGTCCCCAGCGTGGAGCAGTGCCTGGTGTCACCTCCCAGGGGTGGCTTTGGCCCCTCCAGGGTGGGGCACATGCCCAGGGGACAGCAGAGAGGGGACAGAGGGGACAGAGGGGACAGAGGGGACACCTTCCCTCACGACTCCTCACACTGCTCCCACCTGGATTGCTGCACAACATCACAAACCCTGAGCTGTTGCAGCAGCTGCTGCATAAACATGCAGGAAAATCCCACTGCACTCCTGCTCTGCCATCTGACCTTTCAGAACACTTGAAAGACAATTTCCTGCTCCCAGAGGGGATTCAGGGCTGGTGTCCCAGAGAGGGACCTGCCTGTCCCTCCCTGTCCCTCCCCTCCTCTTCCCACCCCAGGTCACTCAAGGTCTGCCACAGGTCACAGGCAAAGCAAATCAGAGCTGAACTGAGCAACCCCAGAGAAAAACAGAGATATTTTTAAAGGAATATTCCTAAGGCAGAATATGTGTTTCTTTCCTGCTCAGTTCTTTAATTTCTCAACATCTTGATGCAATAGAGGAATGAGCTCTGCCCTTAGGTGCTCCCAAGGCTGCTGGGTTCAGCCACTACAGTGAATACATCTTCCAGTCCAGAGTGATCCCCAGCATCTCCTGGTTTTGTACTTTTGGAGATTTGTTAGGTTTCGTCCTGATTTAAAATCAGAATAATTATTTTGAAAGTACTAAAACCATAACTAACATGATTTTCCAGCAGCCTGGCCCGAGTTACACTATTGCACTGTTACCTTTCTGTGCTCCAGTTAAATAATTCATGTCAGCTTCCAGGAATATCTGTACAACCACCTGGGAATCCCCACACTGGAATAACCTGGGTGTGGCAGAGAGCTGGGCACTGCCTGGGTGCACATCCACAGCCTGGTCCAGAGAGATCAATACAAACTTAATTCAGGAATTAGCCAAGGAAAGACCATACATCTTCCTCCTAAACAGAGCCTGAACTGTCATTATGAATTTTTAAAACTCTTGTTTTTATAACGTATTTGTAAATATTTCTTCTGGGAACAACAGAGCAAAGAGAGCCATGACCCAGGAATGGCCAAATCCCACTGGAATCTCTGTCCCAGGAAGGAGTTGCTTGTTCCCACGTGGCCCCACAAGGAATTTGTGCCCCTCCTGCACCCAAAATGCAGGTGAGGAGGTGCACAGGGAGCTGCAACCCACGTGAATCCCCCCCAGCTGTGGAGCTGTGCCTGCCCCACAAGCTCAGAGTGAGCCCCCAGCCCTGACCACGGCTCAAGGGCACAGAATTCCTTCTCCTGGTGCCCACAGGACACAGCCAGAGGAGCCCAGTGGATCCCAACCCTCCCAATACAAGGGCAGGCACCTGCCCTGATGTCCCAGCCCTGACTTCACCCCAGGGCACTCAGCCTGGAGGGCAGGAGGGTCCTTGGGAACCTTTTGTGTCCCAGCTGAGCAGCCACTGATCCCAGCAAAGCCCTTGAACACACAGAGCACCTTCCTGCTAAGGAATCCTATTGGATTTTTCATGGACTCACAGAATCCCAGAATGGTTTGGGTTGGAAGGGACCTCAAAGCCCATCCAGCGCCACCCCTGCCATGGCAGGGACACCTCCCATTGTCCCAGGCTGCTCCAAGCCCCAGTGTCCAACCTGGCCTTGGGCACTGCCAGGGATCCAGGGGCAGCCACAGCTGCTCTGGGCACCCTGTGCCAGGGCCTGCCCACCCTCACAGGAACAATTCCTGCCCAATATCCCACCCATCCCTGCCCTCTGGCAGTGGGAGCCATTCCCTGTGTCCTGTCCCTCCATCCCTTGGAAATTGTCCCTCTCACACAAAGCCATGCTCAGAGGCTCAGGGTACAGTAACTCAGCAGGTTAAATATGATCAGCAAGTCTCCAGTTTTCCCTGTTTTCTGACATTCTCATTCCCACACAACAATTAAATTGCCACTCATTTACCCATGAAGTGATACAGAACTAAAAATAGACCCACTCCCATCAGAAAATGAGGGTGAGTCAATAACATCTCCATCAATCCACACACAGGAGGAATCAAACCCATGGGAAATGCTGGGGTTTATAAATAACCAGTTAACATCAAACTCTAGTGAAGGAATCCCAGAGAAACAAACAGAAAACAAATCCATCACCCAGAGACCTTTGATGTGTTTTGCAGAAAGCTGCTGGGGAATACACTTATAATTCTTTTCCAAGGAAAATATGACTGTCCTAAGGATTGAGCCTGGAAAAGCAGTGACTTGTCTTGGGGAGTGAAATGTCCAAGCACAGCCAACACTGCACTGCTAAATCTGCTTTGCAGGAGCTTTGACACATGAGAGGAGGAGGGAAGGGAGACCTTCTGTCTTAGGCTGCAATACAGGATGTGACAGCAGTTTGTATTCTGTCCCCATGTGTTAACCCAGCTGGGGCAGTGATCCTGATCTCTGTGCAGATATCCTCTGCTAATGGGCCATGTGTTAACCCAGCTGGGGCAGTGTTCTTTATCTTTCCACAGCCCATCCTCCCTCCAGGAGATCTCTCCTGTTCATGGCCATGCAGTCCCAGGGCAGGGCTGATCAAATTCCATCATCCCATTGGGAGATGCTCCAGCCAGGGCAGGAGCCAAACATTTCCTACCCAGATCAAAGGTGAGATTTGGAACAGCAGAGCAGCCTTTTCCCACTGGATCCCAGAGGAAAACCAGAGCCTTGCACATCATCCCTGGAGCTTTGGAGGAAAACTGCACCTTGTGCAGGAGCCCTGCTCCAGCAGAACCACATCTGTCACTGCAGGAGGATGCAGCCACCATGGAATGGCACTGCACCAACCCCTGACTGACTGACAGGGGCAGCTTGGATTCTGACTCTGGCAGTGTTTTGGGTTTGTTCTCTGTAATACTGGATTTCTATTTAAATTTTCCTAGTAAAGAACTGTTATTCCTATTCCCATATCTTTTCCTGAGAGCCCCTTAACTTCAGAATTATAA